GGGGGGGGGGGGGGGGGGGGGGGGGGGACACACGACCAACTGCTTGACTATCCATGGAGAGTATGTTCCCAGCCGGGGGTATGTGCACAACGTTGACAGCAAAAGCCTAGGGAGTTGGGCTAGGGAAAGGGGGATACGTATGGGCTCTCGGGGTTGCAAGCTTAACCACCGCCGAAATCACAACACTTCTTGGCTCCACAAACATCGGCAGGAACCCCGAGATGCATCTCCTCTCCCTCAACCTCACGATGGTACTATCGTATCAAGAGGTGTTAATAGCCCTATCACATTCTCTGTCCAGTCAACCGCAAGACGATCGTCGTTGCGCTTCTCCGCTGATCCCGACCTTCCTTCGAGCGGTGATATCGCGAAACAGTTCGTGAAAAAAGCAATGGGGATGGGTTGTGCAAAGTTATTTGCTTGCGCATTGTCGCAAACTCTACTGCACACCGATGCTAACCGCCTTGCCAACCGAGAGGTCATACTCACATTCGCACGAACCATACGACTACCTAGTCTTTAACTTCTTTCATCGACAGCGTTTGTCTCGTACCAACAGGAGTGATTCGCCCATGAGCAAGACGCCCTCCCCCTGCCCTAGTCCCCCTCTCACCTTCAAAATCCCCCCGCATCGCGGACACGCAGGCACAGCAAACTCCCCGAGGTACGCCCCTGGTTCCACATGCGCGTCCCCGTCGGCCCTCAATCGCACGTCGGGGTCCCCCCCGGCCCTCGCCGTTTTCGCACCTGCGGTGCCGCCGTGCGTCTTTGCCCCTCCGGGAGGTGTTCCCTCCAAGTCCGGTGAATGCCTGGCTATCCACCGGGCGTTGATTCGCGAGAGGTTTTCCTGGTAGACGTCTCGGCTAAACTCGAATCGGCACGACATGCAACCCACCTGATTTGTACGGGGGGCGGGGACCGCGGGGGGGGGGAGCGTGTGTCCAGCTCATGCAGGCCAGAAACCTTCCCGACATACCCCCAGACATGGATACATTCGCGCGCGACGCGAAAAGCAAGGACGATAGAGACCGGGTGTTCTCGGCCCAGACAAGGACCGAGCGAATAAACTAGCGCGGGGGGAATTTCAGCAAGTCGAATGAGGGAAGCTGAATCCAGCTTGGGGGGACGTCTCTCCCACAACCGCGAAGCAGAAGTGGATGTTGCCGAGATCGTCACATCCCTACATCAAAACTCCGGACGGAGCAGGGGGCGTGTTTGCCAACCAGGGATATGTATTTCTTCTCCCCCCTCGCCCTGCTCCCCGGCCGGGGCCGAATTCGACTAGTGAGTCCCTCGCGGGCGAACCCGGCCACAACAGATAGTAGGCGGGTGGTGTCCCAAGGTGCAACTCACCGCCGCGCTGGCTCAGCGTAGCGGTGAGGATGCACAGACGGTGGTAGTGGCGAGAGGTGTGGACACTGTTCCCGCGCCAGTAATGCAAAGCGGCAAACTGCACCTGGCAACCACCGTCGCGGAAAGCGTGGCCCACGAAGCTGGAGGAGTAGAGAGATTCATTGACACCACGTGAGCAAGCACCGCTCGCGGGAGAAGGGAGACAACCGCGGGCACCGCGGGGAGGGAGTGCTGCACCCTCCTCGTCAAAACACCACAGGCAAGAACCGAGCTCTGCAGAGATGGATTGATGCGAGGAAACTCGCCGCTCGGAAAATACGGAAGAAAGCACACCCGCAACGCAAGGCGGACCGAGAGAGACACGAGACCGCAGCGGCCGTCAAGACGGCCGCGAAGAAGAAGGCACGGGAGGGCGACCTATCGTTTGGCACGTTCAACGTACGCACGCGCGCCTACAGTGGTAGGAATCCCATCGGTCACAACGTGATGGCGGTCATGCAGGTCTGTTCCGCGACCGGCTGTGATGTGATAATACTTCAGGAGACCCGACGAGAGGAGCAAGGTTCAATTGCACACGACGGGTACGTGATCATCTGGAGTGGCGCCCGTGCTGGCACCAAGGACAAGAGGGGCGTACACGGTGTGGGCATAGCGATCAAGGAGGCCATGTGGGAGAGTGTGGGCGAGGAAGGTGGGACAGTGGAGTGCATTAGCCCGAGGTTGATGAAGGTGCGTCTAGAAATTGGCCGCACCTGTAACTTTCGTGGTGGGGTACGCCCCCACGGAAACTGTCCGCACCACCGCGGGCGGTGATGTTAACGCCAAGGACTCCTTCTGGACTGCTCTCGACGCAG